CCATTAAAAAAAAAAAAAAAAAAAAAAAAAAAAAGCGTGCTCCCTACCTGGGGCCTTTACATTTGCTTTACCCTCCCTGAGACTTGCATGGTGGCTTCCTCCGTTTCTTTAGATCTCTGCTGATGCATCCCCTATTTAACAGAGCACCCCTCACTCTCTGTCCTCACACTCTGTCCTCTCTTCTTGATAGCACGTATTATTACCCGGTACTTGTGTGTGTTCACTGATCACAATGTGAGCTCCACGACAGCAGGACCTTAGCCTGAGTTATGTATCCCTGGAAAAGAGCCTGGTGCATGGTGGCACTCAAAAAATAGAAGGGATGAATGAGTGAAGCAAATCCTCTTTCCTTTCTCCATCTCAAAAGTAAAATTAACGGCACCAGTCATTTTGTTGGTGGATCACTCAGTGACAAATGTATTGACTATGCCAGTGTGCCAGGTGCCATGCTGAGTTTTGTGGATAGCCTTGAAAGACAGAGTCCTGGCCTCAAGGAGTTCGTGCTCCCACAGAATAGGTGCAATGCCCACTTTCTTGCTAATGTTTTCGAGGCCCATAGCCTGGACCTCCCAGTCTTCCATTTCCCGTCTTATCCCGCCTACCGTAGGGCTGTGAGCGTGTCTGCACATGCGCAGAGTGCATCTAGTGGCGCTGAGCCCCACCGGGTCTGTTCGTGCATGCGCACAGTGGGTCTGGGCCCCAAGCCACAAGAGGAAAGCCCAACTGGATCCGTTTGCGCATGTCTGCACATGCGCACAGCAGATCTAGGCGGCTAAGCCCATGGCGCTAAGCTTTATGGGTCAGCATGCGCGTGCGCATGGTGGGTCTGGGTCTCCAAAGCCGTGTCCTCTATTTTCCCTCACCTCGCTGGGTGAAAAGATCTGGCGGGGCCAATGTGCTCCAGTCTACACGTGACCCGTGTGGGGTTCCTGAACCCCAGCCACATTCGTTTCCACTTTACTCAGCTGGGCCGAGTGGCCCCCCGGGCACCCCTCACCTCAAGCTGGAGGTCTCTGCTCCTCATCACTGCCATGTTTTTCTCTTCACTGAGCTGGGCATAGCGCATGGCCAAGTTGTAGTTGTCGTCTTTCACCTTGACCAGCTCGTCGTTGTAGCCGTCCCGCTCCTCCTTCATCTTGTAGTACCGCTCCTGGAAGGTCGACAGCTCCACCCACGTCAGCGTCAGCTGTTTCTTTTCATCTTCCAGCTGTCGCGACTTGGCCAGCAGCTCGCACCGCTGCAGGTCCTTGGCCTTCATCTGCTGCTGCAGCTTGATGACTTCGTTCATCAGGAAGTGCGTGAGGCCCTCGTGGCCCTCCTCCACTGTAGAGAAGGGGCACCCACTCAGGCCTGGGGACTGGGAGGGGAAAGAGGTTCCAGACGCCGGGCAGGGGTCATTCGTTCACTCATTCACTCACCAACATTTTACTGAGCTCTTACTGCCCAACCCATTAGGTACTGGGGATTCAGGGTGAGCAACACAGCCTTGGTCCTGGTAGAGCTTATGGTCTAGTAAGAGAGACAGACATTAAAAAAAAAAAAATCAAATGATCACACACAAATATAACTATAGACTGTGAGGATTTCACAATGTAAAGGTACAGGGGACTGTGAGAGTTTGTAGCAGGGACCAGGTCCAGTTTGGTAGGCAGAGGGGGTTAGACAAGGTTCCTCACGGTGGAGCTCAAATGACAAGTTTAGGAGGGCAAAAGCAATCTAGGAAGGTGGAACAAGGCCATAGGGGGACGAGGGAGGAACTTGGCATATTTTAGGAACTGAAGGAAGATCAAAGTGGCTGGAGCCCAGAGTGAGAGAGGGAGACAGAAAGGTGAGGCTGGGAGTGTGTCAGCAGGGATGAGACCATGTAGGGTCTTTGTGGACAGCATTAAAGACCTGGGTCTTTACATAGAAGCAGTGGAAAACCACTGAAGGATTTTAAGCAAGGGATGGTAACCTGAGAAGAATGGAGAACGCTTTGGAACAAATCAGGAATGAATGTAGGGAGTTGATGGGCTTATGGGGGTCTGGACTGGGGAAGTGATGAAGATGGAGAGAAGACTGATTCAAGAATGTGTAGCAGGAAAATTAAGAAGACAAGATGTCCGAGGGCTCTGGCCCATGGGAAACTGGCAAGAGAGCAGACAACACAAGGACAAGGTGCAGAGGGTAGAATGAAATTCTGTTCCACCCCAGCACCATTCATGGGGATGTTCCATGAATTCCCACTTCTCTTGGCCCCTGCTTGTCTGACCCTCTGTCATCTATCTACCTTTCATTATCAGGCAAAATAAGTGGAGTACAGTCCAAGAGTCCTTCAAGGGCACTGTCCTAATGCCACAGACTCTCAGCTTTAAAATTGTCCCACCATTGGGGACATGGACACACACACACACACACACACACACGCACCTCCTACTAGAGTCCAAATGTTCCTGATGGCAAAACCACTTACCCACAATAGTGGAGAATCTCCGTGTGGGCTCCTTCCCAGTCACCAGTTTGTACAGTTCTGGGTAGTAAAATTCCAGGCTCTCCAAGAAGACCACGTAGCCCCGTTGCCCCTTGGTATGTAGAATGTCCAACAATCGGCCTGGAGGAAAGACCACATTGCTCCATGAGAAGAATATATGTCTGATTGGATTCAAGTCTCCATGTCCAGTCTTATCCTGGACTTACACCTCTCAATAAATTCAAAGATGACAGTCCTACCGCATTCTATCACTCCTGACTTGTATCTTGGAGTTCAGATAATGTAAATCAAAGTGCTAGGCTCTCAGCAGGGATTCAGTGAGCATTCACTTCCTTTTCTAACAAATTGGTAGAACCAGAATAAATGGAATTGTAGCCACAGGAAACCAACAGTTTCAAAGAGCTTCCCAATTGACCAGGGCCAAATGAGCCATCCAGACACCAGCTCTTCTGTGACTGAAGGAGGTTGGAAGTACAATATCAGTTATGGAATAATACATGGCTCTCTGGGATTCAGAGCAGGAAGACAAATATTTGGGTGCAGAGCTTGGAAAAGTCATAGAAAGGAAGCATAGCTCCATGTTCTTTTTTGGGATTGTTACACACTCTGGAGACATCTTTAACCTGAATGTAATTTGCCCAGCAGTTTCCAGTTTCTATACTACTGATTCTACTTTGTTGTTTACATTTCTTGGCCCTTCTTTAAACATTTGTTTTCGGATATTTCTTCCCCAGAGGTCCTAAAACTCTAACTTTTTCGTAGGATAGATGTAATAAATAAGTTTCATCTTGTGTCAAGCTTGGTTGTTTGGTGAGGCTGCCTGGAGCACTGTGCTGAGTAAGATTCCAAAGTTACATCCCAGCTCAGTGGGAAAGCATGCTGTGGGTAATTAGTGACGTCTGCCATAGATGCAAGAGTCACAGCACTTGAGCTACTTATCACCAGTCATGCCGTGGGACAGTGATTTTTAAACTTTTAGAACTGTGATCCACAGAAAGAAATACATTTTACATGCTGTCCCTGTGCAAAGATAAGTATCCAAATATATGTATATACACATGTACATGTATAAACTAAAACAAATTTCACAAAACATACTTACTACCAGTACTGAATATGAGAAAGTACCATGACCCCTCAGGCAGTCTAGAAAAGCCTATGGTCCCCCCGCTCAAAATAATATTTTCAAACAGATACAATACTTTAGATTACGAAGTAAGCCAATTATAATAAAATACGGTTATGAAATATTAAACAAATTTGTGATTCAGTAATAAATGTACTTTATTAATGCATTAAATAACGAGATCACTTGGCAGGTCTAATAACTACTGTAATTTTGAGAGAGAGATAAGTATAAATGGTATTCTGAGATATCTGCAACAGCTATAATGTAATATCTGTAATTTGTGTTGTGTGTCAAAGGTATTACTAATCACTACTGTGATTTATTACCTACTGACATTCATAATTGAAGGCAATGCTAAATTTCAGTTTATTTTATTTATTTATTTATTTATTTTCTTAAAAGGTGACCAGTAAGGGGATCTTAACCCCTCACTTGGTGTTGTCAGCACCACGCTCAGCCAGTGAGCAAACCGGTCATCCCTATATGGGATCCGAACCCGTGGCCTTGGTGTTACCAGCACCACACTCTCCAGAGTGAGCCACAGGCCGGCCCTAAATTTCAGTTTAAATTGGTAAAATAAAGATGTTATTCCCCTCCCTCCAAGTTCATGGATCCTCTGTGTATAGAAATACACAGCTTGGGTGGGGACAGGGGTGGGCAGTGGTCTACAGACCACAGTTTAAAAGTCCCTGACCTAAAAATACCTGGTTTCGGTACAGCTAACTGAAGGGCATGTCCTAAGGCTGGCGAGTGTGGTGACCCACCCTTTCTCCCAGAGTGCTCCTCAGGTTACCTGCCCGGTTGATCTTGGATGGCAGCATGGGAGCACTGAGCACTTCATCTTCGTCTTGCTCATCGATGACCTTGCACTGGCGCAGGTAGGGGGTGAGCTTGGCGGGGTTGATGTAGCGGCTCAGCATGTGCCGGTTGCATTCCACGTTCTCCCACAGGGCGTCCTCCTCATCCTTCAGCGTCTCCATGTATTCGTCCATCTCTGGCCCTCCTCCTTGCAGACGTAAACCCCAACAAGGTTAATAAAAGAGCCTTACCGAGACAGCTCTATAACATCCTTTAGAGTGATCTCTAGAATATACGGTTAAGTTAAAGGAAAGTATAGCAAAGTATATGTGGCATTTCACCTTTTATCTAAAGGAAGAGGACATGTGTGTGTATATATATATTTCCTTACATACTAAACAATGGAAGGATAAGCCATAAAACGTTTTAAAGATTATCTATAGAGGGATAAAGAGAAAATCCCTTTACATCCAAGTTTTTATATCTTACTGAGACTGTATCTTTCCCCAAACACTATATACTACTGTGTTTTGTCTTTTTTTTTTTT